GTTGGAAATTAATTATGTCCATGTTAGCATCAGTCACACTTCGACATTCCGCATGTTCGACAAATCAACACAAATTTAACACGTCTTACTTCGTTCAAAAATCGGCATGCCAAAATTTACCCATTTTATAAAATAATATACAATTACAGTTTTTAACTACACCATTTCATAAAATTAACGTTTCATTTTAGAACAATAAATAATTTAATATATATAATCATCAATTACACTACATCATTAAACCACACCATTTATATAAATGGCAGTCCTCAGTCTGTAAAAGTGGGAAGGAAAATATGTATATAGCGTATAGATATGTATACTATTAACCAATTAATCAATTATTAACCAGGACGCAACTCGTACTTGTCGCGAAAAAATTGCGGACGCAACTCAGATGTGTTGTGCAAAAACCACGGACGCAATTCGGATATCGCGATGTATATTTTTGTATCTTGGGACGCAATTCGTATGCAGCCATTTATTTTATTGCGAAAGAAAATTCTGAGCATATAGGACTCGTTGACTTACAGATAACGGTTACATTTCTAATTTCATATTCTGAAACAGAATATTATTCGAAGAATTTCAATCTATAAAAAATAATTTAAGACAAGTATAGTTTATTAGTTGTAACTTATAAATAGGTACGTTTTATGCTAGAGGAGTAGTGAACCAACATTTTGCCGGGTACCTACCTATTATAGGTGCCTATATTTATCAATAAATCACTTATACGTTTTTAAATCGAATAAAATCATGAAAAAACATGAAGTATGAAATATACCTATTGACTATAAGTAAAATTGACTCTCCCACCAGAAATACACCCCAATCAGTCTTCACTACCCTATATCTAGTCATGGGCGGATAGGCCATTTTTGGCCTATCGGAAAATTTAAAAAAGATGCCCCACATGAAAAAAAGTTTAATAATATATGATATTAAAGGGCCCCAGCCATTACCGAAGTACGAAGGGAGGGGGGCACCGGGAAATGTCCGGTTGCCCGGTAGGCCTATCCACCGCCCATGAATCTAGTATATCTACGATCTTGATCATCACACTAAACTTTTTTTAACAAGGTATAACTTTACTTAAGTAATAGGAGAACCAAAAAGATTATTTAAAAGAATATTGGTTTTACTTAAATGACTAAAACATAATACAACACAGTTTTATTCAGTATAGGTACTTACTACTTATACATTTTTTTAAATAATACCTACATGCAGTGGTCACTCGATAATTCGAAATTCAAGGGACTGAGTTAAAAATTTGATTTATAAAAGTTTTTGATTTACCTATAGTGTTCGAATAGTCGAGGGAAAAAAATCAATTCGAATTAAAGAGAGGTGAAAAATTATATGTATGTACATATTACATATATTTTGACCTTTATATTATACATACATATTATTATATTTTACAATTATTAATTGACATTTATTTATTATATTATTATATTTTACACATTAAAGAAATCTGTTTTTTTATTTTGCGATAAATTGCACAAGCCGGTTTATAGCGTTTTCTAACTATTACCATTGATTATAAATACTAGTATTTATAATCATTGCTATTACTGATAGCAAGATTTTGATTCGAATTATAGAGGTTCGTGGAGTAAAATTCAATAGACATTTGAATATTATTGAGGGGACCGGAATACATGTATTTTTTCTAATTATAGAGGTTTTTTCATGGAAATTGGCGTTTAGTTCGATTTATGGAGTTTACGACTACTCTAGTAATAAATAATCACATTCTGTAAAAGGTTCCCCATAAGTGTACATAATAGCAGTTGGAAAATATTAAAAATACATACCTAGGCAAGTTTTTTTTTTATAAATTATAACCATTACAGATGACATTTTGACAACATTTATTAGTTGAAAGTTTATAAGTTCTTTGGTTGTTAAAAATGTATAAAACGTTTAACATTTATAGCTAAGGAATTAGGATTAAAAATTAAGTTCYATGTAAGTAGTTATTTCTGTGACAAAAAAAATCTAAAACTATAGATTTTTTTCTAGTTATTTTAACTTCAAATTTGGATAAAATTACCTATTAAATAACCAAAAATAACAATTTTAGCTGCACATTTGTAATTTAAAAATATTATTCGTATGTACTTTAAATTGTATTTACATAGGTACTATGAATGACTGAGTGAGTCGTGTGCGTAATGAATTTGATTGATTAATTTAGAACTTATTCTATTGATACCTGCATTTTTTTTTTTTTGAAATAATAGCAATATAATTAATATAGATTAAAAACATTAAAATATCCTAACTGACAAACCGTCTCCGCTCAAAATCGTTTTTTGTTTACAACTATAATATTACATCAAATTTAATACCATCCATTAGTCATAGACTTATAATATTATAAGTCTATGATTACAGTAACCCGTTTATAATCTACTTTACAGCAGAGCAACTACATCTTCCTAACCACTTTTTTTACTTATCAATGATTTGTTCTGTCAATATATTTAAAATTTTTTTTCTCTACAGCCATTAGCATAAAATAGGCGGTCATAGCATTTATTATTTATTGCAGCTCTCAAAGATACCACTATACTAGCCCACCGGGAAGTTTACCGGTAAACGGTAAACCGAAGGGCCAATCAAGCCCTGAGTCTGTKTAAATCATAGACATCATAATATTATAAATATGCTTATGATGTAAATAAATAAACATTAATCAGACATACAAAATTTCAAAACAAGTTTGAAATCAAGCTTACATATTTTTATCAAATATTCTAAGCTATTCGGCTAGACGAATCATACGAATCGAACAGATCGGTCGGTGCGTAACGTTTTWACGTTTAATATTCGTTGCGTGGTTGTTTCAGAGTTTTGGTGCGTATCAAAATATGGTTGTAAACAATTTTGAAAAGTTACTTATCACGAGTCAGCTAAGGATTGATATTACTAATTTCTAGTACCTACATCGTT